TTCCAACAAAATAAATAATTATTATCTTTATAAAAAATTATATTATTAAACCAAATATAAATTACTTCGTTATTGTACATAAATTAAATTATAAAAAAATTGGATTAAAAAATTACATAAAAAAATGAGGAATTTCAAATAGTTAATTTGATATTAATATCGATATATTTTTGTCAATTTTTTATGATATCGTCAAAATATAGTTTATTCAAAAATAAAAACATCATCGCTTTCTCAAAATCACATAAAGCCATATTATAACATCGACTGAGATAAAGAATAAAATGAAATATTAAAAACACGATGTATCTCGCTGCATTGCGCGAGTACGCTTCTAGTAAAAACTAATGTAGATGAAGTTAAAAAGGCAAAAAATTATTAAGTAATTATAATTAATAGATAGATGTTTAATTCGTAAATAGATAGTTATTTAAATAAAATAACATTTTAAAAAATGATTTTCATGGATGGGAATGGGATTATGGGAACTTTCGATCGGTTACAATTTTGTCTTCCCGCTTCCGGCCCAAACCCCAAGCAATGGGCCATCCTAGAAAGCCCACAGAGTTTGTTGTGTGATTATATATACAAAGGAAGGTTAATTTAAAGATTGTTTGACAGTTGTTGAATGGTTTTGTATAAAATTATTAACTGATCAGAATGATTAAAAGACTCTCATGATATAGTGCAAAATGAAATATAATTGTTTGTAATGAAATTAGGGCTCTTAATAGTTAAGGGAGACCCAATATATAAAATCATTCAGATGGTTTTAGAACCTAAGAGGCAGACTTTTTTTTGTCAAACAAATTTCACTTCTTAACGATTCAGAAATTACCTTTTAATAGAATTATTAAAAAGTAAAAAACATATTGTTATGCATAGGGTACAAAATGATTATTACACACTATTAAAATACAAATTAATATTACTTTAGTACACATTCTACAATACATAATATTTATCACTACCTGAAAATCTTTTTATATGTATTTATCCTAACAAAATAGCTTATCATTATTTTTATAAAAAAACTATTTTACTCCTAACAAAATAGCTTATCATTATTTTTATAAAAAAACTATCATTAAAAAGTAAAATACATTACATATTTATTTTTTAAATCTAAAACATTACAATTATAATCAAAATTTGAAGTACACAAATGATAAAAAAAAGATTTTTTTAAATATTTAATTTAATACCAATATCAATATCAATATAAAATATTCGAGTAATTTACCGATTTTTCAAATTTATATAACATATTCAACAACTTGTAATTTCTATTATCGGTTTACAATAAAATATTTGCATCGCACAGATACACGAATAATGTGTGTGTATGTGTATGTATGTGTATGTATGTATGCATGTATGTATGTGTTGAAACACATGCATGCTTGATGTTCACAATCTCTCTATTTGTGCCTCTTTAATAATTTATGGTTGAACCCCCCCCCCCTCTCGAAAGACGATTTCTAGACGCTTAAATTAATATGAACCCACAATGAAAGCCACTAAAAAAATGGAAAAACACGATTTTTGGCACTGTGCAGGTGTTCTATCGACCACATGTGTGACCCAATATTATGGCGCTAATCATTCGCATGGAAAAGGTGGCATGAATCACAGACTTGGGCTAGGATGTGTGACTAGTCGTGCAAGAGGTCCTTGGGCGTTGTTCTAGTACTTCAGGTTACTTCCAAAGTCGTGTGGAAGGTCGTCGAACCTTTTGTTTTGTGCTTTTCCGGCCGTTTCTCACCCCAATCAACCATTGGACTCGGATTAGGATTATAATTGCATCATTTGAGGCCTATGAAAACATAAAAATGGGGATTTGAGCTTATTAACATATATTAAAACATAAAAATTCGACATTATCAACATAAAGCCAATAAATTGAGATATTCATATAAATGATCGATGAGGATACATTATTTATCGATGAGGGAAGGTGAGGATGATCCTATTCTTATATGCAAAAGAAAAAGGAAAAACAAATAAATAATTGAAAAAAAGTTAAATTATAGCAGCCCTTTTTAGGAGGTTATTGGAAACTTCCTACTAAAAGTTAAATTGTTAATTTTTCAAACAATAAATTTTCTTATTTTTTTATTAATTTTTTTTTCAGTATTTCATCCATTAAAAAAACCTTTCCATTTGTACTTATTGCATATCGGAAAGAGGTTGGGTAAATGCATTATCAATTTCGGTCCATATTGGCGGCCTCCAAAATTTCCACGAATTATGAATGTTTATCCAATAGATCGTGATATTATATTGCTTCTCAAACTAATATCCATGATAATGACCTTATATTTTATTGATTTGGAGCATCTTTAACGACTCTTAGTCAAGCTGCTAGTCGAGTTCCAAAAAGCACCTAGCTGTCGAGCTAGTTTTGACTCCTTCGGACAAAAACATCCTTTTCGTTTGGGGAGGGTAGTCCAAGTAGTGGGCACCTCGTAGGACCTCTTTACTTTTTATATAGCCATGTGCAATAATGAAGATGGACTAGGGATCACGATAATTCTAAAACTAAGGAACTTAGTGAGAGGTGGGTAGAGATGCTTATAACCTCATAAGCGTCTCATGTGGGTACCTATCTTAGACCCTAATGAATCGACTATGAAGGTGGCTCTTAGCTACATCAGCGCTCAAATTCCTTCATCCTTATTGCCTTGGCTTCAATGATCAACGTATCGTTAAAGGCAGAAGAAAAACATCATATTTTAATGATTTAGAAATGAATATCAGAAAAATGATTGACAAATTTTATAAAATAGAGGAAATAATGACTTTGTTCTCTATATTGCTCCAACAAAAACTTTATAAGAACTTCTTCAACTGGTTTTCTAAAATTTCTCTAAAATAAAGAATCGAAATTTAAAATCTCGAAAAATTTACATTCATTTCTGATAGATTTTTTATTTTGGAGACTAAAACACTAATTATATTATTAAATAATTTGTATATATAAGAAAATATTATTTATCTCTCATAAATTTAAATCAAATATTCCTACTGGTGTGAATATAATAAAAAAATGTTTCTCTCTCATTGTAATCATTTACAGGAAGTTCTTAAAATTTGGAGAAATTTACAGTCTCTCTCATGTTTTCTCTTGGAGAAAAAATATGCCCAATTCTCCGTTTTCTCAATTTTGGAGAATCTGTTGGAGATACTCTAATGTTCTCTAAAATACAGAAAACATAAAGAATTTACAAGTTTAGAGAATTCTCTAAAATTTAATGTATTAAGAGAGAAATGATTATTTTATTTAATTCCACCGATAAAATTGAATTACTATTTTTTTTTAAATGTATTAGAATGATAAAATTAGAAAATATTATAATAATATAGGTTATGCTAAGTGTTTTAAAATAAAAAATCTATTAGAGTTGAATGTAATCTTTTTAGATATTTTAACTTTAAGTTTTATATTTTAAAGAAATAATAGAAAACCTGTTACCCAACATAAAAATAAAAATGTTTTCAACTCTAACCCACCATTAAAATACTAAAAAAATAGAGGGCCAAAACCTTAACCTCTATATTTTGAGGTCAAAAGAGTTGGTAACTATATATAATCAAATATTAATATTTTATTTAACTTTTATAATTATATATATATATATATACTAATAGTTTAAAATATTAAATAAATATTTTGTATTAAGTTTATAATTTAGTTATTTTGTGTTTTTACATTGTAAACTATATTTAAATAATTAATTTTATATTAAAAATAAAAAATAGTAAAAACTAAATTATGAATAACTTTATTATGATTTCGGTGGAGGAAACTTAAACATACAACAGCATTAGTGGTTTGAGACCCAACACCACGTACAATTGCATAGGAGAGCTGTAGTTCGGCATGAAGTCAAGCACAAAGATGACTTACACAAAGTGGCATATGAAGTGGAATGAGATATTGATCAACTCTAACGTCACGTATGGGAAAAACAGGAATTAGGAGAGATGATAGGCGACTTCCAAGATGAACGAAAGTTGCATACGATATATCCATATCCGATAAAATTAACTTCTAGGTCTAATTTAGTTAGATTGCACGATTTGCTATGAAAAAAACTACCCATCTGAACAATTTGTAAACACTTTTAGTGTTTCAAGTTTATCAATCGTTTGTGTCAATTTCTCTACTTCGTAAAAATCGTTGATTCATAAAATACAATTGTCATTCTCTTCCTGTAAATATACTCTATAATTCCAATAACGGAACCACGAAAGATTAGGCCTTGGGACTAAATCCCTATATAGTTTCAACCTTTTCATCATCGCTTCAATAGTTTTTTCTTCGCAATTTATTTATATTTATCACAAAGAAATCATTATTTAACCACTAAGACTTCAATTCATTTGGTATTTCTTTATTGGCTACTAAAGTCTAAAATCAACTTTTGCTCGTCACAATTTGAAGCTTTTTCTTCGCAATTTATTTATATTTATCACAAAGAAATCATTATTTAGCCACTAAGACTTCAATTCATTTGGTATTTCTTTATTGGCAACTGAAGTCTAAAATCAACTTTTGCTCGTCACAATGATATGATTGCTTGGTCATTACTTGATATTCATTAATAGCAGTCATACCGACTTTTAAATATTTAAATAATAATTTACTTGTTTATTAGTTATTAACTAATATTTAAGAAAGAAACTACTTGCACACATATACATTATTAATGCAATCTCTAACTAATATTTTCCTTCTCATATACATCAGATCGAAACTCACTTTTTACATTCTCAATGTATGAATTGACATGATTTTGACATTAAATGAAGTGCAAATAACAATCTTCTCATTTAATTAGCTACAACAACCATAACTTTAGAGTTTTCCCCTTTCTAATTAGATTTCATTGAGAAATTCTTTCATTTCCTATACCTAATTAGTCACACAACTACTCTCTCCCGACTCATCGTCAGTCACCATTGGCTTGGTGTTGCCCTCTCTTGGTCTCTCCCATGGAGACGACTCATCGATATCGCCGCTAACCCACTATTGCTCTCTATTGGTCTCCCGCTCATCACTTTGAACTTCGTTTGGGCATTGATCATATTTTTGCTTGTTTTATATATTCAAATTTATAGTTTATAATATTTGTATAGAACTAATACCAACTGGAAAAACTCGGTAATGATGTAAAGTTGGTTGGTACATGATAATAAGATTTTCATACCAATTTTAAGTTTGTTAGCACACGGTATAAAGGAAATTAAAAAGACATATCATCGGACCATGTTCAACCTTACTCAATTTTGTCACTCACAAACCATCGCGAGCTTAAGGAAGATGTTAGCTTTTTGTAATTTCCCTATAATTAAAGGGGTTTATATATACATGTGTATATAGTTAGATTTGCTTATATTGCTATCTTCTTTATTCATGTAATAAGGCCCTTCACATTTTGCAATACAAAGAAAACGATTTTTTCATATATCTCTTTCAATTTTAAATGTAACACTCTTAACGAATGGAAGTTCTGCCAAAAATATAAAGAGGAAAAGTCTCCAAGTAGTTTATTTCCATGAACATGAGTTTAAAGTATACGAAACATCATCCCAAGAGCAAGTTCTTACACATGTTTCATAGTGCACACACATTCGTTTCCAAACCGGGACTATCTATGATTATATAAGCATGAACATACACTTCAAATCTTCTGCATACGACTCTAGATCCATCTTGGCACAGAGCATAGCCCGGTAACAAATTACCGACCTGTTAAATCCGTGATTGTCGCATCATTGTTGCTCATGGACAAGGTAGTAGATGTGGAGTTATCAGTTTGTGTCCTTATGTTGGTTAAATTGACGTTTTGTCTACTTGGCGGGTTTTGTACTCTTGACCTATCACTTAGAAGCATCACCACTTCAGACATTGTTGGTCTGACAGAAACAGGCGACTGAGTGCACATTAGTGCGATCTCTATGACTTTCTTTATGTCGTCTTCTCTATACTTACTTGGGTCTAATGTCTCATCAACCAACTTCAAGTGCATGCGAGTCTCATACAGATTCCAAGCCTGGTAACAAAAATTCAAMGKGTTTAGTGAAWGRTKYKCCTTGATTATAAGTCARWTAAAGTTAAGTTCTAAACGTTGYTGAGTTAATTACATGCTCAAGGAGGTATTGTTCTCCATCCGATTCAGTTGGGACGTCTGTGCATCTTTTCCCGCTAACAATCTCAAGGACCACTATGCCGAAACTGTAGGTGTCAACTTTCTCAGACAACTGTCCGTGGATTGCATATTCTGGTGCCGTATATCCCCTACAAGTAATTGGAGAATTTGTTATTCTCATCTTCTTTAGACTACTAAAGAGGCATATCCACATGTTGATAACATATATATGACTTACAAAGTTCCTGCGAATCTAGTGCTAATATGGGTCTGATCCTCTGGTAGAAGCCTTGCCAATCCAAAATCTGCAATTTTCGGCTGAAAATCATTGTCTAGCAAAATGTTGCTTGGTTTTATGTCTCTATGGATGATGGTTACATGGTACTGTTCGTGCAGATATGCCAGACCCCTGGCCGTGCCAAAGATAATATCAGACCGTTGTTTCCAGTCAAGGGTCCCCCGTTTTTCACCTAAATCACAAAGTAGTGAAGACATTAATGCATCAAAAAGTAGTACGAATCTATGATAAAATATAGTTAATCTTTAGTAGAAAATAGACGGCCATATGATATTTTCTAATCATTGGTAATTGCCAATATCTTTCTAGGTTAGTATTTGACCCCAACTATACCATATAAGTATTTTTCAAGGCTTCCATTTGCCATGTACTCTAGGACTAAAAGCAGTTCTGGTCCTTTGCTGCAACATCCAAGAAGGCGGATAAGATTTCGATGATGGACATTACTAATAACCCGTACTTCACTTTCAAAATCTTCCTTTCCTCTCTTGGAACCTATGGCTAGTTTCTTCACTGCAACAATGTTTCCGTCCTTTACTATTCCCTACTCAACATACAACACAAGAAGGTGAGTTGATCAGAAATGAAATCCAGCAAATCCTAGGTAAGGTGAATCGAAGATGGAAGTACCTTGTACACATCTCCAAACCCTCCTTCTCCAAGTTTATTTTCTTCCTTGAAATCCTTTGTCGCTTTTTTGAGTTCATTGTAGCTATAAGCCATTGGGCCTTGTAGTTCAGTTGCCCCGTATAAGCTACCTGATAAGTTGGCAGTTGAATGGGTTTAAATCTTGCCAGTGATCAAGTTTAATCGGCTAACAGTCAATAATATTGCATACCTCCTGGTGCTGTTCTCTTTCTGGACCGACGATACCACAAAAGAATAGCTATAATTAGCAAGATGATCAGAGCAAGTACACCACCAACCACACCTCCAATAATTGCTCCCTTATTGCTTGAACCTCCTGTGGAAATATCATAAGCAAGCATGATCTTGGTGCACTTGATCATACATATGTCTTTATTTCAGAAAGGAGAGATTAATTATTTCAAGTTTAGTACTTTTCAAGTATAAATGGTAATAGCTTTCATAATTTAACATATCAGAAAGAATATTAATTTTGAAAAACTTGTAATACATTCAAGGTATGCTTACTTTTATAAGATGTGGAAATGTCAGCAATTAGAATTTATAATATTTAATGGATTAAGTCGCAAGGAAAAAGCATCTCAGAAAGATTAATGATGTCTGAATAATAAACTACTAAGTTAGCATAAGACTGTCCAAAATCTCACCATCTCGTAGAAACGGTGTGATGTCAATAGTTTTATTGTTGGCGAAAAATGCTGAGGCAGAATACCTCATGAAACACCCAGAATCAATAGCCCTTCCATCAGTAACATCTGTTGCACAACTCTTGATGTTGTTGTATGCAACTTGTAAGCAATCTTTGCATCCATCGCGTGTAACCCTCTCGATACACTGTGCTATAGCATAAACATTACTGGTATTCGTACCAACTACTGGTGCTGTGGCCGCAGCATAGAAACCACTTATTTTAGGGGTGGCAATAGAAAGATTGGACAATAATCCATCCACAGCTGTTTCGAAAACACTTTGTCGTGATGAAGTACGATTACCACATAAGCCAACATTTCCTGGCCTTGTTGTTTCCTCGTAGAAAGAGCTACTTTCGTACCTTCAAAAATAGCATAACTATTAATGCCATAGTTACATTGGTTGTCTGATATGACAGTGGTTAGATTCCTACAGAAATTTAATGGTGATAGACTAGTAAAATATTGAAATATAGGGACTGAATTGTTGAAAAATGAAAACCGTGATATTGAAATGCCAATTTTGCATATGAATAATTGTATATGGTTTCCCCATACCAATTACCATCCCCACCAATCATATTGTATCCCCTCAAGTCTTATCAATAGACAACGCACCAGACACACATACACATGTATGTCATCTATGCAACACACGTTACTATAAAATTAGATTTATATATATGATGTCAAAATTTTCAAAATGTGGAAATAGAATGTTTTATAGGATGCAAGTTATATAGGCCAAATGATAAAATATCATATTTAAAAACGTTACATTAAGTTTTAGACTTTTAACAAGTTTTTTAAAATAAAACGTCTTATCAACTATTTTATAGGACATTATTTGAAGGAAAAAAAATGTCTTCTAAAACAAGTCTCCTATAAAAAGATATATCTATAGGACTTTTTCCAAAAATATCTTATAAAATAAGTAATATGACACTTTATTTATCCTTAAAAACCTGTTAAAACGTCCAAAAGCATCCTATAAACTTATTATAAAACTTTTAGATAGGACGAATTATTGTTCGATTTTATAAACTTAAGTCCTATAGGACACTTAAACATTGTTGGTGTCATAAAACTCCGATTTTGTTATAGTGATGTAACTTCCAAACCATATCATAATCTAATTACTTTCTAGCTTTCAAACCATATCATAATTTAATTTTGTTTATGTGACACTGGAAGTATAATAATTGTGATATGACCCACAAGATAGAAAGTGAAATTCAAGAGGAATAAATGTATATAGAGCTAATATAAATAGCATCGGGTGGTTGGTTGAAAGTCATGGAATTAAAGAAAAAAAATAGAGGAATTAAAAATGTTTCACCTAATATTCTCATTTCTCAGCGTTGTCGTTACCACTTTTAGTATCAACAATGCTCGTCGGCATTTTTAATCATCCCTATTTCTCCGAGTAAAAAGTAATTTTAAATATGATTAATTACGATATGTTGTTAATTTACACGCTCAAGTAGATCGAACTAAACCTTCCTCTCTCACGACTTTCGTCCCGCACATGTCAAAATCAAAAATTCTATTTGCAGTCCATTGTATAGAGTTGATTCAAACAAAGGAACACCCTTAAAACTGGGGTTTTGCTAAATGAATCTCCATCTAGACAAATTGTACATTCGAAATGTAAAAAGAGATTAATTAATCAGTTAATTAATTTGGAGTTTCATCATCATCAATTTGTAGGAATAAAATTAGTAAATATTTTAGACTAGAAATAAAATCTATAATTCTACTTGCATCAGAAGTCTTTAATTACTTGCAATAAAGAGTTGTATGGTACAACCACACTATGCATTAAAGATTTCCAGATTGGCTGCTCCTGAGATAGCATCCATGTCTAGAAGAGGAAAAAAGGTGCTCACCTGAGATAGCAACCGTCAAGCACTGTTCGGGCACCGTTGGCAGGAGCGCAGGAACGTATTGACCTATCGGCAAAATCAAAACAAGCCACACAGTCGCGAGTTGACATGTACTTCCTGCACTGCAAAAGTACATAAACAGGCTCTGAATTCCTCGTCTGTTCTGCAGTCACAAAGTAGGTATTATTGTTGGATAGTTGTCGTCGGACGTTTCCAAAAGTCTCGTTAAGATTGCGGAAAAAATTCGGGGAGTTGGTGACGTTGATTTGGCTGCAACTTTGGATTAGTATGTTTGTTTGTGGTTGTGATCTCACCGGATTTATGAGAAATAACAAGAACAGAAAGGGAACAACCACCATCTGCCACCTATAGCACCACCACCTAGTCATGGTTCCCCCCTTTGATTCTTGCTATATGGCCGGTGGATTACAGACTTGATCGAAGAATGTCTCTGGTGATGACTTTGGTGGGAGGCAATTATATAGAGGGAAAGTTGACCAAGCAATGATGTTCTTTTATATAATAATAAGAAGAAGAAGAAGAAAAAGAAGAATATAATAATAATAATAGGCCATGATCTAACATTATGGTGATGTTAACAATTTAAACAAATACTGATCATATAAATGAGCTCATATATATGAAAATGTTCGCTACTAAAAAAACATTTTCTAACGACCAAATATGTCGGAAATGCAATTTTCGGCGAATTTCCGACGGACTGCTGGCCAGAAAAAATCCTGCTGCTAAATGCAATTTCCGGTAGATTTTCTGAGCGGACTTATATTTTCCGGCAGATCTAAGGCCGTCAGAAATCCATTGGAATCTTTTTTGATGTTTTCTAATTTTTTCGAAATAATTATCGGCTTTAGAAAACATGATCAGTTTTTTACCGACAGATTTCCGCCAAAGAAATCCGTCGGTGATACCCAAGTTTTTGTTTTTTATTAAATAACATTTTATTGCATTTCAATAATTTACAGGTGCAAGCTATATTACAAGTTAAGGCCGAGTCATGATATATTAACATAATAAAGACCAAACTTGGTATATTTTTCTTACACTAATCTTTCATTTTTATTTATATTCTCAATCCGTTAAAAGTTCACAAGTTTTCATTTCAATTCTATTGTAATTACGCGTTTTAGAAAATGAAATAGTTATTATGTACTTTTTAGATTTTTTATAAAAAAAATAATTCAGTTTGGGTTGGATAAAGAGATTGATTTTTTAAAAGAGGTTGAGTTGGGTTGGTTCACTAATAAACTTAATAATAGTAGTCTTACACATCTACCCAATTAAATATAGTTCTAAGTTTTTTAAAGGTGGTTGAAAGCAATAGGAAATTGATCAAATAGTATATTCATCAAAAAGCCAAACCTCCGTAAGTGTCTAATCCGCAACTTGTGCAAGAGTGTTTTAATAAGAAAAAAAAGTTATTTTCCATACTCCAAAGTTGACGTGGCCTTGTAAACATGCACCAAGAATCTCTCTCTCTCTCTCTCTCTCTCTCTCTCTCTCTCTCTCTCT